AAAAATTGTGATTAAAAACCCCACAATTTTTCTAACTTGAGAGATTCTCTAGGTCCTTCTTCATGACTCTACGGACAACTTTTTCCAGAAGCTGACCATAGTGTTGTTCTGGGGGACCTGGAGATTCCTAGAACAATGTTTTTATAAGAATTTCTAGGTCCTCCTCAAGGAAAGTAGGAAGTGTTGGGGTAATGTCTGTGGTCTCACAGTTTGGAGAAATGACCAGATATCACTCTTCCAGATTTCCAGCTGGTCACTGGAAGGTCTAGTAACTTCACTGTGAGAGAAGAAGAATCCTAGTTACTTGATGGAGAGCTGAGGGGGTGATGTCTGTTCTTTTTTCCCAGCTACTGAACTGCAATTGAATACTGCCTGGGAGCCAGCATTTTCCTCTAGCGATTGATTGCCTTTGGGAGCATCCTGTAATACCCAAAGGGGTCATTGCACTAGTAAGAGGGATTATTGCACTAGAAAGTATTATATACCTTTTCCCACAATGACTGGAAAAGCACTGGCATAATAGTAGGTTACACCAGTATGAATCCCCAACAGAATTCCAGTGGCAGACTCCAGCATTTCCTATTCAGCCTGGTGAAGTATTCTTAGTTAGACTCAGGAGAGACATTGCTGGCCAGAGAAGAAAGTGTTGAGTTAGGTGGACCAGCTTTTTGACTTCATGGTCAGGTCTGTTTGGTACCTTCACAGGAGAACAGAAAGGAATACAAGGAATGTCTATGTAGGAGCAGGAAAATATTTTGCTGCCAGTCAAAGCTGACCATATTGGTCTAAATCAGTGGTTCTCGACTTGTGGGTCCCCAGATGTTTTGGCCTTCAACTCCCAGAAATCCTAATAGCTGGTAAACTGGCTTGGATTTCTGGGAGTTGTAGGCCAAAACGCCTGGGGACCCATAGGTTGAGAACCACTGGTATAAATGGACCAAATTCTGCCTTAATATAGGGCAGCTTCCTGAATTACTATGATGGTTGGAGAATTCTGGGAGATGCAATCTATCACAGGGACTTTTCTGAACTTTTGCCTCCAGCAAACACTATACCCAATGTGAAATTTCATCCCAAGATCTTGTGGGAAGAGTCCCATGCTGTTCTTACTCAAAAGCTGGTCCTGGTCTAGACAGACTAATGGTCAGACTGAGAGGCAGCAGTCACTTGCCTACACATGCATAGCGAAACAAAATGTTCAGAATGGTAATGGAGGTGAGCCAATGTGAATCCAGTTGGTCTTATGCAAGCCGAAAATGCACACATGCCGTATAATTGTGACAGCAGAAGCACACATAAATTATGTTTAGGTTGTTATTTCCATTTGTAATCTGGAAGGGCCAATTTATTTTGATCCTCAAAGGCACCATCTTGACTGCCTTCTTTTTTATATTTGTTTCAATCCTTATCTCAGTAGATTAACCCACTTTATAAACCAATGTTCATCTACTTGTCTTTGATTTACTTTGATTTACTTGCTATGATAGGACTAGCTTCTTAACAGATGTCAAAAAATAGCACATCAAGCTTCGGGAGAACTGGGTATCAACTAACAGTCATCTCACATACTTCTGGGAATTAGTTTGTGGGGTTTGGAAGTCATTCTTCAAGCATATGGAGTGCCAAACACATTTTTCTATTGCAAAGAAACTGACAGGATGGAGTTCGTAGTGTAAGCTTTTGTAGGCTTAAATCTGCCTCCTCAGATGCATCTATGAAAATCGATGCTAACTTCAATCTCTCAGTTCATTCCATAAGGTGCTTCAAGATTCCTTTGCACAGATATACAAGACTAAATTGGTGAAGTCTTTGAATGTTTTTCTATAGTTCACCTCCTTCCAGCCTAGGGAACAGTTCTTGCAAATGCAAAATTGATACTTAAAATAATGGTAATGTAACCTTTGCCATTGGCTACCCTGTAAGGTGAGCTGATGAAAAGTGCATGGTGAAACTGGTCATTAGTAGACTTTAGGCATCTGAAGATGAAATGAACTCTGCTGTTGTTTTAGTAGACTTTTGCTACTAAGTTGTAGACATTAGAATTGTAGCAACACTCTTCCTTCTGGAGAGTCAGGTGGAGATTTCCAAGCATGGTAGCAATCCTACCTCTATGAACCACCAAGGATATTAAGATCATTCGGGGAGGCCCTTCTTTCAGTCCTACCACCTTCACAGGTGTGACTGGTGGGGACGGGAAAAGGCTTTTTCTGTGGTGGCTCCTCGGCTGTGGAACTCTTTCCCCAATGCAATTAGGCCTGCCCCCTCCCTCCTGGCCTTTCATTAAAAACTTAAAACATGGCTGTGGGATCAAGCATTTGAGCAGTAGACATAGCAACTGGAAAGCGTATGTTTTAAGTGACTGCAGTAGATTGACATAGACTATGATTTTGAACTGATGGACTGTTTTAAATTGAATGTTTATAATTGTTTTAATTTTTTTAATTGCTGTTTTAATTGTAACTGTGCGTTTTAATGTATTGTCTGGCATCTAATGGTTGCCTATTGTAAGCCACCCCGAGTCCCTCTTTGGAGGTGAGATGGATGGGATATAAATGCTCTAAATAAATAAATAAATAAATAAATCCCATCATTACACAAAACGAAGCAGTCACAACAAATCCTATTATTAAGCAGAATAGGGCAACCACCATATTTAGCTTCCAGTCCCATCTCTTGAAGGACAGGCCTATGTGTTCCACATCATCTGTCCTATGTCCTTTGAATAAGTCTGCTTCCCACAAGAACAGGTTGAGACATTGTCTCATTGTCAGTATTGAAGTTAGATTCTGCTATCAATCTGGTTGACTTTTTTAGATGGAAACTGACATCTTGTTCAAAAAAATCTCAGGCTTAGGTTGTTGTTGGGAATTGCTATCAGACTACTCTGGGAATGCGAAACCTTATAGGAGGGTTGCTTACAAATCACCAAAAAAGAAGACAAAGGAGGACACTTATATACAAAACAACGGGCTCTTCGAATCTGTGGGATGCAGAACTGCAAGTTCCGGTGACCACAGATCATCATGCCCCATATTAGTAAATGGCAGTGATGGGAAGGAAGACACACTAAAGCATTGTGCTCATGTCATTTAGCAATTTGGAATGTGATCATGTTTTTTCATATTCATGGGGGGTCCTGGAGCCAAAGCTTTGTGGATAATGATTCCAAATCAGAAACATTTTAATGATTTGAACAAGTGTGTATCTCTGTACTATATCTCACCATAGTGAAAGACTGGGATCAGGTGGATCCAGATCTTCTTCATTATGGTTATTTATCTTTAAATCAGATCCGGCCCTTCAGATAAAAGTCTTTGGCAGCCATCTAGAGAAAGCAGATTATCAAAGTCTACCTTTGTATAGTTATGAAAATAAAAAGTAGTATCTTTTAAGAACATTTGTTGTGGTTATGCTCTTCTGTATCCCTCAACTTGAGCAAAGCAGTGTTAACACCAAAGCCCCATCAGCTTTTTTAAGCAATAGGATTTGTGGCTTTGGCATGCCTACCCTGGTCTATTTAATTACTTGTTGTAAGCATAATCACGGTGTATGTAGAAAACCATTTAGTGGGCTAGAAAAACAAGAGAATAAATATTCTACATTCTATGTGTCCCACCCAGAAGCAAGTCATCAGGGCCAATGAGATTTTGCAGCCCGGGATAAAGGGAAAAGGTGATTCCCACTACTACATATACTCAGATGTATCTTAGAGAGAGAAACAGAGACAGAGAGAGAGGAGTAGTGGTTTGAATGTGGGACTTCGGAGTCCAGAGTTCAAATCCCTACTTGGCCACAGAAATCCAAAGTGATCCTTGGGCGAGTCTCACTGTCTCAAAGGAAGGAAACCCACTGTTGGCAAGCAGGCCCATAGCCAGGATTTTGATTTGGGAGGGGGGGGATTGAGTTTGTTTTGGGGGGGGGGCTGAGTCTGAGTGAAAGAGGGTCTACCCTAGCAAACCTTTTGTATCGTTATCCCAATACCCCATGCATATGGGATATATTGAGCATGGTGATCAGATCATGATATGAATAAACATAACTGTTTAAATAATGTACCAGTAAGGCCTTCTCGTGGACCACCCTGAGAATTTCAGGGGGGGTTAAAGCCCCTCAACCCCCCCCCCCCCCCCCCGGCTACATGCCTGTTGGCAGGAAAACCCTTTGAGAGGTTCACCCTAGCATTGCCACAGTTGGAAAAATGACTTGAAGGCATACAAGTTTATATAGCAAAAATGTACCAACAATTAAATATGGTCCATCTTCTGTTCTCAAATTGAAGTTCTCCAGATGTTTTTGATTACAACCTCTGCCACATCTATGCATATCAGCATTAGTGTGTTGTAGTGGTTTGAATTGGATTCTGGGAGACGAGGATTCAAATCCCCACTTACCCATGGAAACGATCTTGGTGACTTTGGGTCATACTCTCTTTACCTCAGAGCGGTGGTTCTCAACCTGTGGGTCCCCAGGTGTTTTGGCCTACAACTCCCAGAAATCCCAGCCAGTTTACCAGCTTTTAGGATTTCTGGGAGTTGAGGGCCAAAACATCTGGGGACCTACAGATTGAGAAATGCAACAGAAACCCTTTTGGATACTGTCCACCTCTGCCATCAAACATACAAGCTTCCTCAGTTATTACAAAGTTGGGTCAGCTTTTCCAAGTGACTAGTTTTCAGTGCCGAGAAAGAGAAGCTAACCAATGTTTTAAATTATTATTGGAATGTATTTTTCCTCTTGTTCCCAGGAAAAGGTGTTCCTGCTTTAGATACTACATGCTTTCTCCAGTCCTTAGTACTGTGCACTATGCTGAACAGATCTGCTGTTCAGACAGCAAAATGTCTTGGGTAAGCAATGGATGCAATCACAACTTATGCTCCTGGCAATAGCTACTTTTTACTTATTGTTTAATAAAATACCCTCACTGCATACAGTTGGTTACCAATCAGAGACACAAATCATCAATCTGATTCCTTCATATACAAAATCACTTCATGCGAACATGTTTTCCAGAATTTTATTTAAACATAGCATCAAATTACAATAATTTCCACAGTAAATAAGTGTTGACATGGCAAAGAATGATGAAACACAACACTTATTTTTCACAAGCAGAATCATAGAATAATAGAATAACAGAGTTGGAAGAGACCACGTGGGCCATCTAGTCCAATCCCCTGCCATGAAGGAAAAGATCTCTCCCTAAGATCTTAACTAAATGCAGCAGAAGAGCACAGAACAACCTTGGAAAATACGTATTTTATAAAAGGTTATGTACTCAAAACCCAGAAATTTATTCTCTCTTCCTCCAAGTTTCACTTCAAGTAAAACAATTCAGATAAATGATTGCAAATAATATATGTAGGAGTGTGTTTCTTCAAGCAGCTAGCCTGTCTTTCCAAGATAACACCATTCTGTCCTTTAGTCCTGTTTACTGTTTGCCTTTTCCAGTTCTTTTTCACACTCCTATGGATTGCTATTAGGGGGAATGTCTCCCTGAAAGAATTTAGCGCAGTGGTGGACAAAGTGCCTCCTATGAGCTCTATGTGATCTCCAGGGAATCAAAAGAAATGTGGCAAAAAATGCTCCCAAAAGCCTGCTCAAGGGAGTAGAGAGTGTCCCTACCATGACTGCGGCCTCCTGCACCCTCAGTGGTCTAACAATTGTTTTAGAAAAATGTTTGTAAATCTCTCCATATAGCTTTCCCCAGACATACTGGCAACTTGATCCTTGTTTCTCACTGGTCCCATTTTGGTCTACCATTCTAAGGAATTCATTGAACAAAGCTAGCTGAATGCGTTTAACTGTATGCTGTTGCTTTCTGAAATGCCAAATTGCCTAGAGCCTCCTTAATAAACTCTCAGTGTTGAAATGCACAATGTTATTTATGTGTTGTGCCTTATAAGATCTAAAATGGTTCCACAGGAAAGGGTGTCAGCAGAGTAGCAGGCCCTCCTTTCTCATGTTGGTTAGAGAAGTTGACTTCCATCAGAAGTTGACCATAAAATCATCTTGGGTGAAATTTGAGAGGTTCTCTCTTTAGGAATTCCAAGGTGATTCTATGGCCAACTTTTGGGAAGATTCCTAGAGACAAAATATTAATCAAATCTACAAATAATCAAATCTGCAAAAAGTCAAACCCACAAATGTGGACAGCCAACTGTAGTAAACATTGCTGTGTATGCAGTGGCCAATTCTCCATCATATCCAGGGGGGAAGGGGGGGGACCTCTAACAATAGAAAAGACTTTAAAAAGTTATTTTGGGGAGGCTAAATCTCCAAGAACACTGCTTAGCCACTGACCATGCTAATTGGGAGATTCTAAGAGTTGGCAGTCTAAAAAAGTAATTTTTCTAAGCTCTGGTGTGAGGCTTAAGAAAAATTTCTGTCTGACATTGTAAAGAGCCACTGCCAGTCCAAGCAAGCAATTTTTTTGTCGTGTCAGGAGCGACTTGCGAAATTGCAAGTCACTTCTTGTGTGAGAGGATTGGCCGTCTGCAAGGACGTTGCCCAAGGGACGCCCGGATGATTTGATGCAATGCTACTAGGGCATTAAGGGCCAGAAGCATTAAAGTGCAGGTTTACATGAAATGTGAGGACTGTAGTTTGTTCCAGTTTCATATATTTGTTCCTAAGACAATACAAAGTTAAATAGTCTAATGTAGGCATGGGCAAACACAATTCCTAACAGTAGGCGGTTAGGAATTGTGGGAATTGAAGTCCAAAACACCTGGCGGGCCCAAGTTTGCACATGCCTTGTCTAGTGTGTAAGCAGAGTCCAATACTGGCAGATTATTTTCTTTAAAAGAGGATAGTTGTTGTTTTTTTTAAAAAAAAAAACAAAAATAAGAAAAATAGATCTCTTTACTAAGCTAAAACTAGTAAGCTTTAAGTTGAATTCTTCAGTACTTCTCAACTTTAGTTGCATTAATATGTGCCTGAGAGAAATGCCATTTACGTATCTAAAAGAAAAACAGAAAAAGGTGATTAGATTATATTGTGTTCAGTACAAATGAAACATCACTTTTAAAACTTTTTAGTATAGAAGGTACTCTCAATTTTTTACTATTTCCAGATCATCTCAAATTTTGTATCTTGTCTCCTACTGCATTTGCATTTTTCACATTTTAATCACAAATAAATGATTGTAGTGACCACTTCTTCATCAAATGCATTAATATGGAAGTACATATTTATGTTCTTGCCATTCAATATTGATTAAGGGAACACCACTGCTTTATTAAGGGTTTTTTTTTTTTGTATATGGAGTCTGGTTTACTTATTTCAGGATGCTTCCAAAAATGACACAGGTTTAAAGTAGAAGGCAATCAATCTGAACTGAAAGGCAAAAAACTAGGCTATGAACTTGTGTAACCGAACCCCAGTACAGTCATCCAAGGATGTAGCGATGGGTTGGTGAAGACAAAATGAGGCCAATGACCTCCCAAATAAGAGTTCTCCCCCTCCACCATTAATTTTTCTTTTAGTTCTCAAATTTCTACAATTGAAGGGCTGGAAAGAAAGAGATATGAAACACACATTTTGGTGCCACAAATGTTAACTCTGTTTCTGGGTATATTTGATCTGCTGATTCCAAAAACCGTACCAGTTTTCCTCTATAAACTCTAGTTTTTGAGATACAGAACATATGTCATGGTTCCTAACCTGTGGTCTGTCAACCACCAGTGGTCCGCAAGAACAAAAATATGGTCCACAGCCTCACCATTACTACACTGTTGCCTCGAAACCAAGCGGTAAAGAGAGCAACTGGTCTCACAAAACCCTCTTATAGTGCCGAGGTAATAGGGATGTCAGGAGGGGAGAGGCTGACTACTCACTAAAGATTACTACTATCACATCAGCTCTAGACTATTAAATATGATTTTCTGTGGATGAGCAGATAGTGACAACTGGATGGCATATGTTCTGTATCAGAAACAAGAGCTGATGTGGTCTATCCAATGGAATTTTCTGAATCATCATCCCAAATAACGAAACTGAATCTAAAGTTGACCAAAAACTGATTTGTAACCCTTTTGGTACTAATGTTGGAGAGTGGTCCCTGGTCAAAGTGGTCCCTGGTAAAAAAAAAAAAGTTGGGAACCACTGTCATATGCTATCTGTTCATCCATAGAAAGCCATGATAACCATATCTAAGAAACTAGATCCAATGCAGTTTTCTGAATCAGCATCCCAAATAACCTCAGGAACAAGCTTAAAATCAAGGCACTTCAAAAAAAAAAGTGCATAAGAATTAAAGTTGTCATTGTTGTTCAAGTCCAGAACATTTGCTATGCTTTCAATGATGTGGTGACTTTGATTGCCCCTTTTCTTGGGGTGTCTCTAAACTATATTTCTAGATAACTGAAATTTTAAGTTACAGGAATGTTAGAAATCTGGTGACTGAATAAAAAAATTGTTGGGCAGAATTCTTATTTGGGGGGCAATGCCTTCATTCTTCCTCCATGCCCTAGCTGCCATTCATGTACATATATAGAACCATTTTAAGTTATACAATATAGACTAATTCACTATAAGAATCGGTGTGCATTTAATACAGAGTGAGACACAAGCAAAGTTATTTCAACATATCTACAAACTGGTGAAAAACTTCTTCCACAGCACAGAGTTATGTTTGAAATAACTTGAAGTAATGCCTGAAATTCCAGCAAGGAAATCCCAGCCTTGCCTAGGACAGTTTCATAAACCGCAGGAACAGATTTATCACCATTAAGCAATGAAGAGAGACTCAACCAATCATGGTTCCATAGCTAGAACTTGGAAACATTACTTTTTTGACCATGCTTTGCTGGGAATTACAACAGTTGTAGTCCAAAAAACATGTTTTATAAGCTCTATATCCCTGGCAAATGTCATGGACATGATAGATCTGTACCCAAACATCAATGTATTTGAATTCTGTGTCATTTTTAATGTATTTTCACATCTCTTTGTTTAATCACGCAAAGGATTTAATTGTTTTTTTATTTTTATACTTATATTTTTTATGCATTTGTGTTGTTTTAATTTATATTGTGTCGTGTCTGTTGAGTCCCTATATTGAGAGAAAGGCAGGACACAAAATAAAATAAATAAATAAAATTCCACACATGACTGTAATGTAAATAATTGAGTCAGGCTTGCACAATGGCTTTCAAAATTCCGCCATGAGCTTTGTCTTTATACTACGTCTGCCTTCATCTGAGCGTTTTTCAGAAATGGAAGCTTCAGCGTCCCAAACATTCTATTGATTCAAAGTGTTTCAGCAAACAACTTTCTCATGATATGTCTTCAAACAAGCTGCCAAGGTATAACTTATTCAGCAGGGCTGATGCTAATGCAAAGATGTGATGATAAAACAGATTTGTGGAAGCCAGTGGCAAATCAGAACTGAAACGGAAGACCATGAAGTTCATTCCCTCTTTTTCCAAATCACTTATTCCACATGCAGTAGATAGCATACTGATCTCATTTTACTTGTTTTAAGAATAGACTTACCCCATTAGCCTGCTAATTGAAAGAAAAATTCCACAACTTTATTTTGTCCTGCAGCCTGGGCCTATAAGAAAAGATTACAATGCCAATAAACATCATGACATAACCTGTACATTGTGTGCATCTACAATGTAGAACTAATGAGGGCTGACATCATTTTCAACAGCCATGGCTTGATGCTATGAAATCATGGGAGTTGTACACCCAAATACCTGGGAGTCACTCTGGACTGTGCTCTTACCTACAAGAAGCACTGCCTGAACATCAAGCAAAAAGTGGGTGCTAGAAACAATATCATATCGAAAGCTGACTGGCACAACCTGGGGATCACAACCAGATACAGTGAAGACATCTGCCCTTGCGCTTTGCTACTCTGCTGCTGAGTACGCATGCCCAGTGTGGAATACATCTCACCACACTAAAACAGTGGATGTGGCTCTTAATGAGACATGCCGCATTATCACGGGGTGTCTGCGCCCTACACCACTGGAGAAATTACACTGTCCAGCCGGTATCGCACCACCTGACATGCGCCGGGAAGAATATAGATTGCTTGTGAATTCATATGCATATTCATGCATGTTTCTCATAGACTCACATATTCAATTGCACCACCTGACATCCGCCGGGAAGTAGCAGCCAATAGTGAAAGGACCAAGGCAGAGACATCTCCAGCTCATCCCCAGTTTGGGTATCAGCCAGCACGTCAATGACTTAAATCTAGAAATACTTTTCTAAGATCTACAGAGACACTCGCTGGAACACCTCAGCAAGCGAGAGTCCAAAAGTGGCAGGCTCAAACCCAGAACCTCAATCAATGGCTGATACCAAATGAGAGACTCCCTCCTGGGCACACAGAAAACTGGGCAACTTGGAAGGCGCTGAACAGACTGCGCTCTGGCACCACGAGATGCAGAGCCAACCTCAGAAATGGGGCTACAAAGTGGAATCCACGACATGCGAGTGTGGAGAAGAGCAAACCACTGACCACCTGCTGCAATGCAACCTGAGCCCTGCCACATGCACAATGGAGGACCTTCTTGCAGCAACACCAGAAGCACTCCAAGTGGCCAGATACTGCTCAAAGGACATTTAATCAACTACCAAACTCACAAATTTTGTATTTTGTCTGTTTGTTTGCTTTGTTCTGTTAGAAATGTAATATAATTGACTGGTTGCCTTGAGACACAATAAATAAATAAATGGTTGTTGTAGTTTTAAAAGGTCTTAAAACATTCTCCAACAAAGAGTGCAACTGCACACCAAACTACAAATCCTAGGTTTCTATGCCATTGAGCCATGGCTGTTAAAGCGCTGTCAAATGATGTGTAGATGCATCCTTGGATGAAATCTGACATCAAGTCTCTCAACTCACACTCACTCACTCTTTTGCACAGAGACAGTTGCACACACCAAATCCCAATATTCTTGTCCTCCTGTAAAAATTTCTTCTTCAAACAGTTTCTCCTTCAGAGCACTTCTGTTCCTGAAACTATACTGTTATCAGCTACAGGGCTTTGCTTGTGCTGGCATCTTCAACAGACTTAGTCCACCAGAAAAATTAGGGAAGAACAGAAATATTTTCACTCTATCTGCATTAAAATGACTGTGATTCTTATTGTTTTCCAGAGAGTTGAGAAGGATTTGAAGGACAGATTAGATTTATTTGAAAAAAGGATCCCATAAACTGATCCCTCTTTTCTAGGGGCTATGAAACTGAGTAGTTTCACTTTTGCTGCTCTTCTTGTTTCCTATTAACTTTTATTGCTGTTTATCCATTTAAAGAGTTTATGTCTATTTTACTACATATCTCCCTACTTTTAAATAGTGGGCTAGTGAGTTGTTTAAGCTGAGTTGGCAGACTACAAATTCTAATCCGAATAAATAAATAAACAAACAGCTACACTATGCCACACACACGCAATTGATGTTTTGGATCTACTGATTCCATGGGAAGAGAGTCTTTTTTTTTTCCTGCTCCATTTCTCTCTCTTCCCCCTACTTCACCTTTTGCTCAATTTAAAATTAATCTAAAGGTTTAAGGAGCTCCGTTGGCTGCCATTCATTTTCCGATCCCAATTCAAGGTACAGGTTCTGACCTACAAAGCACTGAACGATTTGGGACCTGCCTACCTACGTGACCGCATTTCTGTGTATGAACCCGCACAATCTCTTCGTTCATCTGGGGAGGCCCTGCCCTTGCTCCCACCTCCCTCACAGGCGCGATTGGTGGGGATGAGGGAGAGGGCCTTCTCCATGATTGCCCCTCAACTCTGGAACCCGCTCCCCAAGAATATCAGACAAGCCCCCACACTGGCAGTCTTTAGGAGCCTGAAAACGTGGCTGTTCCAGTGTGCCTTCCCTGAATAAAGGAAACAATCTCCTACAAATACTCTAAGAAGCACTTTAATTACCCGTTGGGTTGCTCTTTATTTTTGATTTAAAACCCTCCAAATAGATACATCCTCTGTTCATGTCCAGCATTTATTTTTAAAGTTTTAACTATTACATTTGGCCCAGCCATAGGTTTTTAAATTCTTGTGTGTTCCTGTCTACTTGTGAGTTATATTAATTGTATTGTTTATTTTGTTTATTGCTTGTTATTTTATTATTGCTTGTTTTTGATGTGTTGTTGGGCTTGGCCTCGTGTAAGCCGCTCCGAGTCCCTTGGGTGGTGGGGTATAAATAAAGTTTTATTATTTATAAAGTTTTATTTAAAGACATGGAAATATGGTCATCATCCACTTCAACACCAGTGTATTTTCCAATCCAGGTATTCCCCTCCAGGAGCCAACAAGGTTCAATATAAAGGCTGAATACTTGACTGTGTATTCATGGCAGTCAAGTATGAAGTATGTATTTATGTATATCTATCTATCTGTCTGTCTGTCTCTCTGTGGATGTTGGGATGGCCAGGTCAGGAGTAGCCTTGAAATCTAGGAACGTACCTTGTGATGTCACAGGAAGTGGAATCTGACAACATCTTTTAAACATAATACATTAAGTGGCAGACACAGAATATGTGGTTGCACAGAAAACACCAGGCAAGTAAAAGCGCCAAGTCTCGATGAGGAAAATGTTGATACCCACACTTTTTAAAGACTGTGCTCTCACCCTGAGACTCCTCCAACTTTCCCTAAGTACTGGAGAAAACAGTTAGAGCCAAGTCCTGAGAGCTGAGAACCTTAACAGGCACACACACATACATGTTTCTATTTGTGCTTCCACTGTTTCAAAGCTACCACTGCTATCATTACCATTGGTTTAATGTACTCTTTGAGAAACAAATATTGAAGACAGTCAACCTGACATATTACAATAGCCATACTTACCGCGATACATGGAGTGTTCCCATCATAGCCATGCTGGTTCAGGTCCACACCTGCCAAATGCCATGCTAGCAGTCCCTCAACATCTCCACTGCAGGCAAGACTGAAACCAAGAATATGTATATATGAAGACTATAGTCAAATAATCAGTAAAAGACGAGGACATGGAAGGGCAGTTATGAAGGAAATATGTAAAATCTTTAAGTGTAAACGTATATATCATTGAGTATCACACTGGTGGTGAAGTGGGTTAAACTGCTGAGCTGCTGAGCTTGCTGACCGAAAGGTCAAGGTTTGAATCCAGGAAATGGGGTGAGCTCCGGCTGTTATCCCCAGCTTCTGCCAACCTAGCAGTTCAAAAACATCCAAATGTGAGTAGATCAATAGGTACCGCTCCAGCAGGAAGGTAACGGCACTCCATGCAGTCATGCCGGCCACATGACATTGGAGACATCTACGAGCAATGTCAAGGGAAAACCTATGGGGCAACAATAGTAGTGGCCAGGGTGGTGAATGCAGGCTACACATTCCTTATTCCTGGATCCACACAATTCTTTCACATTGAGGACATAGATTTTCAGATGGAAGTCGGACATGATAGGTTTGCTCGGCGTGCCTTCCTCTTGGCACTTTTTGTCCTTTTGCCCTGTATTTGTGCCTCTTCAAAATCCACCTGACCTCCAGTGACAATGTTCAAAGGACAGGACTTACCCATTCTTGGTATTTATACAACATTTTGAAGATTAACTAAGTCCATCTTTAAATGTTTTCTGTTGTCCTTGGACATTCCGTTTTCCGTTCTTGAATTGAGAATAAAGCAACTACTTTGGGAGATGGTGATTCAACATTCAGACAACATAGCCAGTCCAACGAAGTTGATGGCAGAGAATCATAGTTTCAGTACTGGTGGTATTGGAGCCCCTGGTGGTGCAGTGGGTTAATGCTAATGCAGTTACATACATTACTATATTAGAATAATATATTAGAATTATATAAACATTGAGCTGGAAGAGGCCACAAGGGTCTTCCAGGCCAATGTTGCGCCACCCAGGAATACACAAGCAATGTTTTGCCTACCACCCAATAATTCAAAAGAAGAAACATTCTTAAAACTCTTCTATCAGAGCTTGGGAAAAATCACTACAATTGATCTAGAACTGGAAAAGATATAAATTGGAAACTATTTTTATTTTTGGCTTACAGTAACTTGAAAAAGGCATTAAAATAGGGGTCAGAATCATCTAGTTCACTGATTAAATTGTATGTGTTCATTTGTCATCAGTGGATGTTCAAAAGAAGAAGAACTGGGCGTCAACTTGGAGACACAACTATTTCCTTTAAAACGCCTTGAGCATCATCCATAGAAAGAAACAAAGAATACTGCCTATTGTAGACTGTCTTGGCCCTTGGTATAAACCTGAATTCACCTCATACTGAACTCATCTTTCTTCAAGACATCTCTCTTCTACAATCTGTATAATCAAATGTTAAGCCTTTGTTTAGAATGTACAACTTTCAAGTTAAAGATGAAGGGGAGCTGGTTGTTGAAATAAACAGGGGAAAACTGGCACACAGGAAAAATGAATGAAAGATTGCTGAAGGCCAAGGTGGTCTTTCTCTTCAGTGTGCCACTTTTCTACCAGGAGATTACTTTTTTCCTCATGTGAAGTATATAGTTTTTTTTTATCCTTGCAAACCCAAATGGTACTTTCCAAATTAATATTCCATACTTTAGACTGTTTGAAAGTGGAAGCAGAGAGAGAAGCTGTCTAGATCAAGGGAAGTCACAGCCCCACTCCATTCTGCTATTGTCCTCCCACCCTGCTATACACCTGCGAGACTTGGACTATCTACAGACATCACATGCAACTCCTAGAACAATTCTATCAGCGTTGCCTTTGAAAAATCCTGCAAATTTCTTGGGAAGACAAACGGACAAATGTCAGCGTGCTGGAAAAAGCAAAGACCACCAGCATTGAAGCGATGGTCCTCCGCCATCAACTCCGCTGGACTGGCCACGTTGTCTGGATCACCGTCTCCCAAAGCAGTTTCTCTACTCTGAACTCAAGAATGGAAAATGGAATGTTGGTGGACAGGAAAAGAGATTTAGAGATGGGCTCAAAGCCAGCCTTAAAAACTCTGGCATAGACACTGAGAACTGGGAAGCCCTGGCCCTTGAGCGCTCCAGCTGGAGGTCAGTTATGACCAGCAATGCTGTAGAATTTAATGAGGCACGAATGGAGGGCAAAAGAGAGAAACATGCCAAGAGGAAGGCGTGTCAAGCCAATCCCAACTGGAACCACCTTCCATCTGGAAACCAATGCCCTCACTGAGGGAGAACATGCAGATCAAGAATAGGGCTCCACCTATGGACCCACTGCCAGTACACCGATCTTGGAAGACAATTCTACTCAGACAACAAGGGATCGCCTAAGTAAGTAAGTGCTTTGGTCAGATCTCACCTGGAACACTGTGTCTGGTTTTGGGCACCAAAAGAATATTGGCAACCTGGAGCGTGTCCAGAGAAGGGTGACCAAAATGATAAAAGATCTAGAAGCCAAGCCCTATGAGGAGTGGCTTAGAGAGCTGGGTATGTGTAGCTTGGAGAAAAGAAGGCTGAGAGGGGACATGAGGGCCAGGTGGCATCATAACAGGGCCTAGACGTGTGTTTTGCACCCTGTTCCCCTAATGTTATTTGATGTAACATTATCTTGCTGTGGTGTTCTCATTATCTTCTCTGTGTTGGCAACCACAAATCTCTGAACAGGGAGGAGAACAAGGAGCTTGGAAAGGCTGCAAGGAAGAGCAGGACAAGATTACAAAAGCTCCCAACAGCTGAGCCAGCAGTACCACTTGATGAATCAGTTGCATAAATTACTAGGGGTGTATAAGAAGAAGCTTTCGACAGGCCAGTTTCACCCAGTGGGTGTGCCCATCACCAAAGGGGAAAAGGCACAGGCAGTTTCATATTTCACAACGTAAGATCTATCCCATGAAATGTAGTTCGGGCAGGATATCCTGCCTTCAAACTGCTTTAAAATGTTTTCACATTAAAATCCAGAAATTAAATAAGAATGTAAGAGCAAACTTGCCACAAAAGTTGTTACTTTTTTTAATTGCAAAGAAGCAATAAAACAGGAGTCAACAACCGAGATCCTTTCCTCCTTCACCCTTGTTGCGCAGGTGCCTCTGCTGATGTCAGCATGGAGTATTCGAGACAGCCAGGAGCCCTAGAGTCAGATGGCAATAGTGATGGCAACATGGGTTTCAACCATTCCCTTTCTTCCTGCACTGACAAGTTTGGGAAAGGGGAATGGCAGCACCAGCCCGTGTGGACTGCAAACTGGTTCTCACCAGAGCTGTCCTGGTGTCCACACTGTACCCTAAGTACCAGGCTGCTCCAGAGTTTCTCTGAAACTCTGGAGAATTCCCTGACTTTTCTTGGCACAAGGCTAAATCGCTTCATAGAATCATTAAGTTGGGAAAGACCTCATCCAGGTTCTGTTTAAAAGCCTCCAAAGAAGGAGCCCCCACCACACTCCAGGGCAGAGAGTTCCACTTCTGAACAGCTCTAACAGTTAGGAAGTTCTTCCTCATTTTCAGGTGGAATCTCCTTTCCTGTCGTTTGAAGAAGCCAGTGTTCCATGTCCTAGTCTCCAGGGCAGCGGAAAACAAGCTTGCTCCCTCCTCCCTATGACTTCCCCAAACATATTTATACATGGCCCCCATCATGTCTCTTCTCAACCTTCTCTTCCGGGGAGCCCCCAGTGGCGCAGTGGGTTAAAGCCCTGTGCTGGCAGGACTGAAGACTTCAAGATTCTCAAATCCGGGCAGAGGCGGTTGAGCTCCCTCTATCAGCTCCAGCTCCTCATGCGGGGACATGAGAGAAGCCTCCCACAAGGATGATAAAAACATCAAAAAACATCAAAAATCATCTGGGCGTCCCCTGGGCAACGTCCTTGCAGACAGCCAATTCTCTCGCAACAGGATGCTCCTGACACGACAGAAAAAAAAAACTTCTCTTCTGCAGGCTAAACATGCCCAACTCTTCATAGGACTTGTTCTCAAGACCTTTGATCGTTTTAGTTGCCCTCCTCTGGACACACTCCATCTTGTCAACATCTCTCTTCAACTGCAGCACCTGGACACAGTATTCTAGATATGGTCTGACTAAGGCAGAATAGAAGGGATCTATACTGGCCAAAATCCCATTGGCTTTTTTTGCCACCGCATGACATTATTGACTTCAACGAGGTTTACACCCACATTAAGTACCTGAAGACCCTGGATATTGTGTAGGCATCCAGTAGGGACTTCTGGACCACTATGGGGTTTTTAGCTAGTGTAGACAAGCCCTAAGATTACAATCCTAACCACATTTAAATGAATGTAAATCCCAGTAAACATTGTGGGATTTACATTGGTAATTATTTCTGAGTAAACACAGATAGGATTACACTGCTTGATGCAACAGGCTGAGTGCTGATCTGGGCTGCATTTGGCAGTTAAGATTGCTTGAGTGGAATGTCAATGCAAATTCTGTTTGATTGGACAATCCTGCTGTTCATGAGTTAGGAGCCCAGGTGACAATAGGGGACTAGAAGATCCTCCAAACAAATACACATTAGCTGACATCCAGGAAAAAAAACCCTCATCTAAAGAGAGAGGAGTGGTGAACTAGGCTAGTTTCAATGAGACTACATTACAGAACAAGGTCTATAGTTGGATTCTTGGCTTTGCTAGAATTTGTCATGTCAGTTTCCTGGCATGCATTCTCTAGAATAGGTAAAGGTTTCCCTTGACATTAAGTCTAATCATGACTTAATGTCAAGGAAAACCTTTGGAGGGTGGTACTCATCTCAATTTCTAAGCCGAAGAGCCAGCATTGTCCATAAACACCTCCTAGGTCATGTGGCCAGCATGACTGCATGGAGCACCGTTACCATCCTGCAGAAGCGGTACCTATTGATGTACTTACATTTGCATGTTTTTAAACTGCTAGGTTAGTAGAAGATGGGCCTAACAGCGGGAGCTCACCCCACTCCCCGGATTTGAACCACCAAGCTTTCGGTCAGCAAGTTCAGCAGCTTAGCGGTTTAACCT